ATATTTAATTATTGTATCTGAATTAAATTCCTTAGGTTTCATATTTCTCGATTTTAGTGCGAACTCTTTTGAGAATTGTGTGATCTTATTTACATAATGAATTTGCTTGCTCTTTATAGAAATTTATAGAAATGTTTTTTCGAGTCGATGAACATGATAGACAGATTGTAAATTATTACGATGATCCTATTTTTCTCAGCAATAATTCTCATGTATTCATTACTTATGGTTGTAAATTTTATGGTTATTGAGTAGCTCCATCACATTGAGAATCATATCAAATATGAATGCTTTTTACCCTCTTTGTGATTGGTTAGTTCCATTTTATTTTATAAGTTTTTTCATCTTTAAAATTTTTTCATGGAATTTTCAGATTCAAATGAATTCGTTAAAATAGCTAAAAATCTTTAAAATTTTCTCAGATTTTTCAGTGAAAGTTTTGGTTTAGGAAAGCAAAAAATTATAAAAAAATTAGGATTGTTTAACATAATGTTCAATAATCTGAATGATGCTGGCGGCTCACCTGTACTTCTATCGCTCTCAGGAATTCCCTGGCGAACTTATTTTTCTAGCGACAAGCCAGCGGAGCGAGTCTGACCAGTAATGGTGTGGACTCTCAAAAAAATATTAATTTATATTTTAAAATAATTTTGTTAATATTTGAAATTTTTAAGAATTAAAAGAATTTTAATTTTATTTATAATTGAATAATCATTAGAAAGTCTTAAGTCTTTTCCTTTTTCTTATTTTTCAATTTGACTTATTATTAAAAATATTTATATGATATCGAGAATTATGAGAGAAAAGAATTATTTATTGAGTTTTGATCGTATATTTTTACATTAGATTAACAGAAATATTTCTTGATCTCAATGATTATTGTTAATGCAATAAAGCGCCTTTAGATTTCCCGAAATTTTTTCTAATAAATTTTGAAATTTCTTAAAATTTATTCAAAACTTTATTTATAAGTTTCTAAAACATTTTTTATAAATTGCTAAAATGATAAAATTCAATTTTTCCATTATTTTTTTAAAAGTTAATTTTGAAATTTTAAAATTTCCTAATTTTTTCTCAATACTAATTTTAATAGAAATTTTCCATAAATTTGCAAAATTTTCTTTATTTACTTAATTCGTGGCTATTTAACATTTTTTTAATCATTATTTATTTATATTTAATATAAATTTTTGAATTTATTGTTTTCGATTTACTAAATTTTTTGAATATTTCTAAAAAGGATTTTAGCATTTTTATTTCCAAAATCATTCTCATAAATTTAAATATTCAAATTCTTCAAATAATACTGAAATAATTTAGTAGAAATAGAAATAAAATCTAAAAAATAGCTGACCCCATTTATTACTAGAGAATGAACCCTTCGCTAGAGAAGCAGTTAAGAATACGGTACGAGAGAGTCTTCACCTGGATTTCACTTATAATTTATTTGTCCTTATGAAATCAATTGTGACATATCCATGGTACTTGCAACGTATACCTACACTTCGTCAGAGAAAATACTTTATAAAATTATTATGTAATAGGACAAAAACTTAAAGAATTGTGTAATTTGTCATGCTTCAGTTCTTATTTGTTTTAACAGCATATTTCTTACAATGAATAACCTCCGATGTTAAAATCTGCTCGTTAGGCGCGAATCCTTTGATTCCCAAGAAGCAGTTTGCTATAATTTCTTTTTCTTCCCATTTTTTAAATAATATATCAGTTATAAATAATATAATATATGAAAATATAAAGATAATAATATGAACAGAAAATGAACCAAAATGAATTAATAATCTAGTAATATTTTCCAATGAAATTTTCGAATCTCTTTATTATTAATCCAGTTGATACTGGAATATTCCTTTGTTTTTCTAAGATCGCTCGCCATCCTTATTTGAGCTACGTTCGCTTGTCGGATCAGGTAAATTTCGCTAAAGAGTCACTTGGGAATAGAAGCAATTTTTGGAATTACCCGGGTTTTTGAAAGTTAGATATCTGAATAATAGCATGACCGCTCTGAAAATAGAGCAACAAATCCACGTTAAATCATTCCTCTTCTATATTCTTTAATATTAAATTTTACTCTATTCGCTATAAATTATAATTTATTAGATTCATAGCAAATTTTATAATCATTAACAAATTTATCATTTTTAGCAAGGGTGCCTGCCAACGAGAACCGTTCACGTTTCGTATAATTAATTAGAATTTACAAAAAACAATAATAAAAGAAGAAGCAATAAAATAATAATCTTATTGTTCTCCTAGGTGTTGTTCATTTGTTCACCTCATCGAAGCGGTAATTGTAAATTATTGTGAGAGGTAGATCTGTGTGTGGCACGCCCAAACTATCGACTGCGAACTTTTTCAGTATCCCATAATCGAGATGCTATTGATGAAAAGCGACCACTCACATTCACCTCGAGCTTCTCCTTCTTTTTTTCCTTCAAGAAACAATAATTCAAGATGCCAATCGTTAGTTTCTTAAATTTCTTGCTAAAATAATTTTATTTTGCATTTTTACATTTGAAACAAATTTTAAGTATTTGGCTGAAGTTGGATAGAAATTCTCGTAATTTGTAATTCTCGTACACGCAAATATCGGAGAACACCATTTTTGCTTACCCGTCATAAGAGACTTATTTAATGATAGAAGTACCATCCGATTATTTTGCTCATTGGATACAAATAACTATATATTTTTTATAATTTAGACATTTTTATCTTTTATAAGCTCTTTCTTTCTGCTAAAATAAGACACAATGCATGTTTTCAATGAAAACAAAACATGAAATAATAGGCAATTGGTAATGCGATAGACAATAAAAAGTGCAGTTGATTACTTAGTGGTACCATTAATAATAAAAATATAATCTTTAAGGCCATTAATTGCCACTTCGATTTCTTAACTCCAATAGAGCTGAAAAAAGTTGATTTTGATTTATTTTGATGAAAAATTAAATTAAAAATGAAAAAGGTCGGCTTTCTTTAAGTTTTGCGATTCGTTACGGATGGTCATCAAACAATTGTTGTAATAGGTTGAACTCTGAAACAATTGCTAAACGTCGATCACGGTCAAATCGCAAGGTTTGTCAAAATTCTCGATTAAAACACTGCTTAGTCCAGTGAATTCGTTAAAAATACAATTTTTTAATAATTTTTCAAATAAATTTTAAATGAAAATTATTTTTCTATTTCTTTAATTTTGATTTTAATTCAATTTTAACTTAATTTTATTTCCTCGATTTTAATCTTAAATTTAAAAAGATTAAACGACCAGTGATTTCGATTTGTATAAATTAATTTAATTGGTTATATTTAATATTTAAAATTTGAAAATTTTTGGAAATCTCATAAAAATAAAAATTATTTTGTTTTAAATTTATTGCATATCTCGGTTTTTAAATTCGATGGAATTTTTTAAAATTTTCTACAGAATGGTAAAGCAATTCGTAATGATAATTGGCACAACCGAGCTGAAAATATTTTTTTTAGTTCCTCGCAATTTACAAATTTATAAACGCGATAAGGATTTGGCTTATTGGACTTAAAGAATTTAGCAATAATGATACCGTAGTTGCATTACCGTATTTCGCTCTTGTTGTTTATTGGTGTGGTATTAAGCTTTTTGGCTCTGTGAACGATTCACCAAATTATGGCCTCTTTTCTCAATGGAATATTGTTTGAGAATCTTTTTTAACGACTTTTAAGTTATATAAATATCTCAAATTTTGTATGAACAGCATTTTTTAAAATTCGTGGCGCTCATAATTTCTGGGTTGGTTCAACGCGGTGCCTGTATATACGATCGGAAACGTTTGTCAGGCAGTCACTTGACGATTAGTCTCAGTTATGCCCGAAATATAATTTATTTAATTTAAAATTTAATTAATATTTAAGCTTAGAAGTACGAGCAATAGCACCGTACAGCGTTTCATTTATTGTCGTTGTTTTGTAAATTACGTAAAGAGGGAGCCAAATCTCCAAATATGTGCGATAAAGCCAGAAAAGGCAAGCAATTCCTGGTAAACGATGAAAAACGTTCCAACTTTCCGGATGGGTCTCAAGAAATAATTAGGATGAACTGATCAGAAATATTTTTCAATCACAAATGCTGTATTAAATTATGTAACAATGGGAGAATTATTTGCTTCGTCCTTATGTCGGCAAACAGTTGAATTATCCAAAGTCTTCCTCAACATCAAAGAAATGATATTTAGCGTATATATAGGCGAATATAAAAAAAGAAGATTATTCACTTATATTTGACCTTATAATTGTTTCTTAGCGTCTTTTTTTATATTTTCATATTTCATTAATAACAATTTTCTCGTCAAAAACTTTTCCTCATTCTCCAACTTCCAATTTCAAGTCTCTTAACAAATTTTCTAGGATTAACAAATTTCGAATTTTCTGGCATTTATTAATTTCGATTGTGCAATGCGTTTATAAGTTTGTGTCTGATGCTCAAGTATTTAAATTTTAACGTTAGGCTTAATAATTCGCTATGTTTGTCGCTGAAAAATAAAATATTCACAATTTCCAATCAACCAATCAATCAATCTCGAGCTGTTGACTCTTTCAGTACTGCAATTATATCATATATTATACCATATTAAGTATTAATCCTCCATATGTGTCCAAATTGTCAGTTTTTCATCAGTATCAGAGTACTGTTTCATAGAATCAAAGATTTTGAACTGTAAGATGTTTTACCAAAGAATTCACTAAAGTTGTCGCTCATTTCTACTCTAAATGATAATAATTTTCTTGCTAGCAATAATAGCTGCAAAAAAGAATCTGCGCTAAATTTTCAAATCCAGCAAATTTTCATCTTCTGGGTCCAAGTTTAATTTCACATGCACCAAATTTTCACCTCATCTTCCTGCTATACTTTTACTGGTTTTCCGAACTTTTCTCAAATAGCTTCAGGTGCCTAATTTTTTATTTTATGAACATTTTCTGAACATCGCAATTTAGGAAGTATTTTCTAGGAAAGGAAACGGAATGAAGAAATGAATTTGGCTTTCGCGAAACTTCAACAGTGCGTGCCGCATATCCCCAAAGATCAGAAGCTTCCAAAGATTAAAACTTTAAGACTTGCAGTTAGATATATTCAGCATCTTGAGGATATATTACGAGGAGAGACAACCGTATGAATTTATTTTTTTTCTATTACATTTTAATATTTGAAAATCAGCAATAAGATTTATCTTAATTTGACGTATGTGATGGATTTTGTAATGAAAATTGAAAAAAAGCAGGAAATAGTTAAATCAAAATTATTTTGGGAATCCTAGATGCTTGCAGTAAAACTTGCAGTTTTTCTAGTTTCAATCATCCATTTCGGCTACACCACGACCATTGGAATTGGAAGATTTTGCATCAGTCGCCATGCAAGAAGTTCAGACAAGGAATAACTATAAGGGTAAGAATTTTTCTCGAAAAAAGTTCTTCTCCATAGTTTCAGTCCAATTACGCGTGCAAATCAAACCACAGCTGAACTAAACTAAAAAAATAAAGAATTAAAATTGAAAACACAGGAAAAAATTAGATTTTATCGTGAAACTTTGCCTAAATAATTTTCATTTTTCATTATCAATAATGAACGAATAAAATACAAATTTTTCGTTTCGTAAAGATCGAGCGGAACAAGAAATGGGAATTTCACGTGAAACTAATGGACGGCATAAAACTGACCACGGACTAAGCGTTGATAATTGCTGTTCTCGATTTCACGCTCAAATGGTCGATTCTCATTTACAGAGATTACGTGTCGCAGAATTACCTACACTGCTTTGAATGGCGATCTTTTTTGCCCAAAAATTGGGCAATAATGATGTTGATTTCTTGTTGATTCGATTAAAAATAATGGCATTCTTCAACTGTTTTGTTCACATTTTCAATTTAATATTTTTTTAACGAAATTCCCAAAATTTGCAATTTTTAATTCAACAACTGAACTTTGATGCGTTAATTCATTTGTAAATCCACGCATAAATCAGCCATAAATGCATCAAACAACTTTTTGATATGCTATATAATATTTAACAAATTGCTTACATTTGATTCATTCCAACTTCTTTCTATGATAAGAATACCACTGCTGGTTTGACTCGTCCCACTGGTTGCTATACTTTCGTTAAAGAGCCTCTTTGGGATAGAAATATGGTTAGATCTCCAGCAGCAATTTTTAATTCTTATAGCACATTGGCTCATATTAAGGGGATTAAGCCGAATTATAGTATTGTGAGTAATAGGCACAGCTTTTGGTTGAGAATGCCTGATTTTCGGTGGGATTCAGACTACACTGAATAAAATATTTATATTTTTGAAATACTTGGCTTCAATTATAAAATAAAAGTGGAAAAATGAAACTTGTGGACAATAATTTTCGACAAATGCACTTGCTTTTGATAATGTAAATATATATTATTTAATATTAAATAAATAACTGATTATTGACGAGTTAAATGCTTTAATGTCGAAATTTATGGTGGCCACAAGAAATTTCGCTCGAAGGCACTCCCAAATTGTTTTTGTACTTTACCTTATCTAAGCAATTTATCATTCAGCCAGCCATAAATGTCGTATTACAATCACTAAATATAAGTACTCGAAATGCATTAAGCTAGCAGACAATTAGCTAAATGGTGCGCTCTACCAGAAAAAGAAGAATCTCACCAGGATTTCGATCCGGTTTGTAAAGATTCGGTGTTAATTATGAAAAATCAGATCCAAGAAGTTAAAATGGCTCAGAGCAAATTTATAGCTGAAATTATGATTAACGTTCAAAACCAAGAAGAAAAAAGAGTGGAAAGAAATGGAAAAAATACCCATTATTTCCGGTTAGGTTAGTTCCATTGGCTGTTAAAGCGGTTAAAAATTTTTGCCATAATTCCATTCGATGATAGAACTGCTAGTGAGTGGCCATCACTATTCGTTTATGCTGGAGACAGCTTAATTCTTACCTCTCAATAATCTGAATCGACTATCCACTCACCTTTCCTACTACTTCTACCAATAACTACAAATCATTATTGATTTGATTATTTTTTTAATTAATAAATTTGGCTGTTAAAAAATTGTTCCATTACTTTTTAAAGTTAATACAGTTGCGATTTTTTCTAATGAGATTCAAAAGTATTTAAATAATTGTTAAACAAGTCGAAAGCCATTTTTTATCAGTTTAAAACAACTTTTATAAGCTCATAATTTTTTCTTCCATCAGTTTATCAATTTATCAGCGATAGGTGTGATAGTTTCGAAATAAAATATTCCGAAATAACATGGTCGATCTAAATTGCCATAATGACAATCAAATATAAATTATATCATCTGTATTTGATAATAACTCGTAATTTATCGAGAATTCTCTAATTTTCTTTACTATTAAACAAATAATTCGAGGGTCATTAGAGGTTAATCGTTTAACTATGCTTAACAATTCATTATTTATTTGCTTTTGTATTAAGTGGTAAACCACAGTGACATCTAAAAACAATTATGAATAAATTCCTTAATGAATTATTTAATGGTCATAAATGTACATTGCTTATTTCAAGATATTTTTGCGCAATTTGCATCGACGAAGTTTTATAATATTTTTATGGCTTTTGACAATTCAAGAGAAACTTTTTTACAGTCGCAAAACACTAAAACTTATTTTCAAAATTTCTAATCATCGTACTAATTCTAAAACGGATCAGCAACCGTATGTAAATTTAATGGAAGAAAATTCGAAAAAACAAGTATTTTCTACAATTTTTGCTGCTATGTAATTGAAACTACGATATTTATCCAAAGTGTTTCAAAAAAGTAACTTATTGCGATGCTATTTAAATTTTGAACTTTGGATCTTTTGGGTGAATGGATGAATTTCGCAAAACTGACCGAAAGCTTACGCTTAACTTCTGAGACACTTGAGAGTTTTGAGAAAAACCTGAGACGAAATTTTTTCTCGATAATTTTGAAGATTCAAATTTGAAGGCCGAAAAAAGATTGAATAAAAACAACCATTTGAGCAATATTTATCAATATTTGAATGCTAAATTTTAAATCCAATTTTTTTTCAAAAATATTAAATATTAATACTAAGCATTAAAATATTTTTTCAAAATAGAGAATTTTTTCAAAAATTCAAATATACAAAAATTTTAAAAATATTTTAATACTTAGTTCTATTAAAATCTTTATGAGTTTTCTCGCCTCTCGAAAAATTCTCTAAATGAACAATTTTTCAAAGGATAAAGAAGAAATCCATCGTTATATACGATAGAGTATTTTTATTTGACCTCCTTCCTATAATTTATTTTCATTCGATGGTAGCAATAATAAATGTGGCGTCATTCGCTCACCAGAAATATGTATTTATTTCACAATCGATTTCCTATTAAGGATAGGATCGGATCATTTTCAATTTTTAAGTAATAAATAATCGCGAATGATTGAGCAAAATTTAGAATTTCGAAAGAAAGCAAAATTAAATGCCTAAATTATTGCTATTCATTAATATTGTACTACTTTCTCGTTCAATAAAAAATTTTCAACTCTTATGTTCCTTAAAATTTAGTGATCTGTGACATTGGAAATAAGGATGGATTAATCAGATTACTCCAGTTTTTTCGTTGCTAATACAGTAGAGATCCACGATAAATCCACATAAGTAAAATTAGGTACCATATGAGCTCACGGATCATTGCACATTGTTAGCAAAAATGAAAAATCCCCGGATATGGTGAATATGTAATAATTTACATACTTCCTCTTGAAAATGAAGATTTCTATAATTACTCAAAATATCAAGGAATTTCGTATTTTGCAAGAAAAAAAAGATACTGGATTAATATACACTTAAAAAAGCCATTGTCCGACAGATAATGGATGTGAAATGAGACCATGGGTGATGCACATCTTTCATAAAACGAATAATTGTAAGGGATGAATTGATGAACGAACGAACTGATGGAATGACGGATGAATGGATGAATGAACGATAGATAGAGAGAGACCTATCTTGATAAAATATATTCGAAGATTTTGTTGATAAATTGCTTAACTGATATGATCTGCAATTCATTTTTGTTCATTGTTGATTCTTCCTTTTTTTTGCTTTTAAATTATCAACGAATTTTGCATTTTTTTCCGACCGATAAGAAAGATAAATGGCAAAAAAGTGATGGAAGTAAGTTGATTTGATAAATAATAAATTTATCACAAATAACACAAAAATAAATGAAAAAAATAGTAAAAATCTGTAAATCTTGCGTAATAAATTGTAAAAATTCTTTTGAATATGTAAAAATTTTTTTTGTCGCCGATAAACATCGTAAGTTTATTGCCTGTATAAATTCTTATTGGATTAAACACTATGCAAGAAATACGATAAGTGATGATGCCTTTGGTGCTGAATGGTGCCTTCGCTCCTTCATTTTATTCATTCATTTTAAATAAAGTTTTAAGAATGATTTTTGAATTGTCTCACTGGGTGTCAGAAATTTGCCAGGGAATGCCGATAGAAATATCGACTCTGAAAGTTATTATCCAGATATGGTGTCCTATCGTAGTCGCTATCTTCTTCCTTTCACAGCTCTTTAGCTGGTTCCACTGGTTATTAGGATGAGGAGATTTCTCTCAGATCGCTTATAAGTTAAAAATTTAAAACCGGGAAAACATCAAGTGAATGGTGGTTTAGAATAACGTCTTTAGAGTTATATTCGGTTGCTGTTGCAGATAAGAGGGTAAAAATTATTGCAAAACCCGTCTGGTACTGGTATCTATTTGCACTCTTATAATAAACGACCTTTTGACCTTCGGCTTATTTAATAGTCGAGAGGAAATAAATGAATAATTAGGATATATGATCCACTGGAATTAAATATCTTTAGATATTTCAAATAAATATATGATAAAGATTCACTTAATGAATTAAACTCTTCAATGAGATTATGAGATTTAATACATTTTCCTATACAAAAAAAGTGTGTTGGCATGAAGATTTGAAAAGTTTATGTAAGACAGAATGGTTCATTTTCATTTTATGCATTCCTTCGGTTCAAATAATTTTCTATGGAGCTTGGGCTTCAAATAATGCGCTTTTTTTGAAAAGTGCTAGCTTATAGCACCAGGCAAAGTTTGCCAAGGAGCGATGGTATAGCTGGAACGCCAAACTAATATGATGAAATAATGATCATCTTTAGATATTTGTTGAAAACATGTAAAAAGTAGAGCATTTAAGATTTAAGATTTAAACCCGATTTTTTCTGGAATTATGGTCATTGGACAAACATATTTTGAGAATATTTTTGAGGAAAATGTATTAAATCTCATAATCTCATTGAAGAGTTTGTATTTATTGTTTTTTAAAAATTATTTAATATCTAATAAAATTATAAATCCTTCTGTCTGCTGTTTTTCAGGTACAAATATCAGGATGCTGAATGAGTTTCTAATAACTGCATTACCGATTACATTACTTGCGACACCGATTGAAAATTATATTGAAGGTGAACCTAAAATCCGTTGCGATTCCGATGCGATAGACATCAATTTCCAGACACGGTACTTTTATTTTTTTGCTGAGCACAAGTTTTTGATGTGTTAAGGTATTAAAAAGCAAGTTGCTACCATGAACTGTGGAACTGCTTATACTAAATATTGTTTAGAACTGATAATGAATAAGTTCATAAATAATTTCAAAGGTTATACGAATGAAATGTATAACTGGTTCAAATCTGCACGAGTTTTTAAAACTAATCTCTTATCATAAAAATAAAAAATTTCGCAATATTCTGATATTTTTTAGAGTGAGGTATTAAAAGAATTTCCTTTGAAGGCAGCCATTCAATGGACGCATTTATGTCAAAGGTCGAAATACAGAAAGCGGTTGTCACAATGAACAAATTGGTCGCCATCTTACCGGAATTACTTTACATTTTGGAACTTGTGGGATGGTACGACTCCGATCGTTGTGAGTAGTTGATATTAGACAATATAAGCACATAATTAATATTTGTATGGTCATATATTATTATATTTTACAAACTTCATTTCAAGCTAATATATTTTTTATTTATTTTTATTTATATATACTTTTCAAATTTTACAATTATCGAATTAATAAATTACAAAATCTATAAAAAGTTAAAAGTTCTATCTTTATAAGTTACAGTCTTGGAGGCAACAAAAAAATTGAAAATTTAACTCGGTTTTACCAAATGTAACGAACATGAATGCACTAATTTTTTATAAGATATTTCCAAGCTTCTTAGCGTGATATTTAAATCATAAAAGAAATATTAAGAATTAACAATGTTTTTTAGGGAGCCACGCGGTGTTTTCTTATCAATAGCGATCGTTTTATCATTCCATCCGAAGGTTAAATGATTCTAATTTCATTTGATAAATGATAACTTCATTAGATATTAAATTCGTTAAACTGATCTGTTCTTAGCAAATTTATTAAACTTACTATTTAAAAAAGTAGAAGTGATGCTGAAGGCTCATGAGTACTTCTATCCTTGGACTCTTGCGAAAATACTCTCGACCAAAAATTAAGAGCATTAACTACTGACGATAATGAGAATTATATAATGGAAAACTGCAACAAACACTAAATTTCTTGTTCAGTTTATCACAAAAGCTGACAAAGTCTACAATATTCAATGTTTCTATATGGAAAGTGTCAAGGATGTCGACAATAATTTGGAGGTTTGAACTCATTCTTTATTTAGGTTCACCCAGTCTATCCTCTGGGAAGATTTATTCGAGCATTCTTTTTTATTTCTTCCATTCTCCAAAATTAATGAAAAAGTGCCTAAAAATTTGTAAACTTTGCGCCTAAAAGCTTATTGTGATTTAGGCAGTTGAGTTAATTTCTATATTTGTGATGCAAAATGCTATAATGCCAAACTGTCGTTACGAAATCCTTGACAGGGGGCCTAATGGAAAGCCGATACAGTTTGCACTTATCGGTCAACAGGTCTTATCTTCTTATTTCATCGTTCGTTCATCTTTTTTCAATCGTTATTATTGCTATGTTAAAATGTTACTTGTTGAAATTGAAAATTTAGCACCCTCAAGGATTTAAATAAAGGATATTTTACGTTTTGAAAAATATTCGCAGATTTTTTAGGTTTATCATAAGTGGTTTTGCGAGGAAACGATTCGATCAGCGTTCTGTATGATTGTACATTCATGTTTTATGAGTGATGGCCAAGGCAATCGCATAAATGTGATCGATGAAAATGGATGTACGATTGACGAATACATACTCGACGATTTAGAATATCTCGGCGATCTTATTGCAGGAAAGGTTTCTTTTTTTCTCATTTAATCTAATTTAAAAATAAAAATTATTAAAATTATTCTAGAAATAATGCCTAAAAACATTCTTCCATTGCACTGCATAGGTGAATGCCATTCGTTTAAGCTTACTATTTCTGGTTAGGCTCGTTCCTTCTCGTCGGACAAATTTTGCCAGGGAGTTACTTGGTGACAGAACGATAAATGAGTCGCCTGCATTATCCGGATTCTTGGAAGACGGATTTACTCTACCTGAAGAGAGAACTCCAGCATCTGTGCACAGATATGAGAGTAAAACCCACTGAACAATGGCATTCGTTAAAAAAATTCAAGAATTTTATAAAAATTCAAGAATTTCTAAAATTTTTAAAATATGAAAGTGTAAATAAAAAAGGATTCATGGAAATTTTGACGGATTATTTTTCCGACATTCTTTCTCGCATAAATGAGTTCCGAAAAGTACATTTCTGTTCCGAATGTACTAATTAGTTGTTACCATAGGCGCTGTAGATAAACAAATATTCGAGAAACATCTAAAAAAAAGGAATTAAATTAAAATAAATTAAAAAACATCTTAATTGCTTAATTAATTCCAATTATTAGGAAGCAAATATAGTGAAATATCACGATCGAGAAACGCTTGGATTTCAATGTCAAATTTCCTTATCAATTAAAGAAGGTCAATGTGCACGACCTCAGTGTGAAAACATTCGAAAAAGACGGCAAATTTTTAAAATATTTTCATATTTAATTGAAGAGAAAGGTTCTCAGTCCCTTTCATTCTATGGATATGAATAGCATTAACAACAAGAATCTGTAATAACTTTTATATCCATCCAGAAAAAAATGAATATGTATTATTTCTGAATGAAAGGAACCAATCCATTAATTTGATAGTTATGAAAAATTTATGAATTTTACAGATTCGCATCACTTCCATCACTTCTCTCAATATCATCACCACCACTGGTGTCTAATAGAAAAGATTTGGTGTTAAGACAACGAATGCTTCTTAATAAAAAAGTCATCGATGTGGTGACACATTTTATCAATGTCCTGGATGCAGTAAATGGATCGTTGAGATTTCCTGTGGATCCGAGAAATTTCGATCAAAAAATTGTAACATTGTTCCATGATTCAACTTGTTTTATATTCAACTTGTTTAATATTTTGTTCCTAATTTCAATAATATTTTTAATGACAATGTTATTGTTATTTCTAGGAAATTTTATTGATATTTATAGAATTACAAATAAAAGCAAAAGTTAATATTTGATATCACTCATCATTGTAAGATTTGCTCCACTACTTATAGAAAATAGGTCTCTAGTATGACCTGAATTGCTCCTTCCTGGCCAAATAGCCAAACTGATAGCACTGCTAGTCTAAGCAATAATATTCAGCAATATACTGCCACTAATTATGTCGTAAAAATTTCAAATAAAATTTTGACTTTTAAATTTCTTAAATCTTTCATTAATTTATTTCATAATTTGAATTTACTGGACAAAAAATATGAAAAAAATAAAATTTTGAAAAGGTAATTTCCATTGACAAATGCCCTTTTAAAAAATGTTTAAGAAATTAGTTGTCATTTTAAATACAGCGAATTTGGCTTTGATTGTAAGAAATCCTTTTTTTTAACAAACTTTTCATCATATTTTCTGACGAATTGGACAATTTGATCTGAGTGTTTACCTTTCTCCTTCTTCTAATTGTTAATAATGCTTTCACCATTTTTGGTTTGGCTGATTCCACTGAGTTCGCCTTCTAAAGTACTTTGCAAGTCCTCCAAAACGCCTGAAATTGTTCATCTTTGGAAATATTAAGGTATTTGTCACATATTTGTAAATCCTTATTTTTTTAACATTTTTCATGCATAAATAAAATAAATAAATAAAATATAAATATAATTAATGTTTAATGATGCAATTAGTGAGAATAATTATTCAACGATTAAACGTTTGATTTGTTATAAATCAGTTTCACAATTTCCTTTTCATTTCCCAGGTGAAAAGTAATAGAGAGTCTCATGATTGCATAAATTTTTGTTTGGATAATACCATGTGTATTAATAATAATATTCGCCAGAAGGCATTAACTATGCCTTGTTCCTCCCCGTTGTCCATCGCAGGGATTTACTCACATCTCACCATTTGTTAAGCTTCTGTGATGGCTAGTGGCAAAAGCGAGAAAAATTAGTCAAGACCTGGACTCACAGGCAGAAGAGAGAAATGCACAGGCCAGCGATATGGAAAAAAGAGATTTTTGTTATGAGATTTCAAGACTTCCAGGCATGGCAATGGTTTAATAGGCTTGGAAACCTCGGCTCAATCTAGTCGCGAGAATAAAAAATGAGAACAAAAATTCCAAACAATGATTCTAATCAGTGACAAAGTGCAAATATAAAATTGTTAAAAATTTCATTTTTATTGTTTAATATCTTTACATAATAATAATTAATTTTATTCAAATATGGTACTGAAGCATTATGGCAAAATCAATCCCAAAGGGCAACTGTAGGGCAAATCAATTCCTGAATGGCTGAATTTAAAAAATTCGCATAAAAAATAATCTCACAAATAGATATTAGAGCCTAAATTGTTTGCAGCAAATCCCGAATAAGCTTTTTTCTCTTTGGATCCGTATTAGTTGATTTGGTTTATTCAGATCCCACAAAATTTTCCAGAGTTGTTTTGGATGATAATAATAATAAATTGAATGATTAGCCGAATAATAGAATAAATTTTATAATAATAGCAACAATTTTATATATATGTATGTCAAATTAGGCGTTTTTTTCTGGTTATGAAAATATGGATGACCGCAGACTTTATGACATATCATACTTTATGACTTTATCATACTTATCACTTTTCAGTTACGGGAGTTGAACCCATTCTACACATTTTTTGATGAATAACATACCAGTTGACCACATTCACTTAAGATCTCGATTTAATATCGCAAATAGCATATAAATATCAAAAAAGACAACTGATGAAAATATTTATAAATTTAAAATAAGTTGGCAAGAAATGGCAAGAAATCCTGGTGGTGCTGGTGACTAATCTGTATTTCTAACGCCAAATGACTCATCGGTAAAAAATTTCTTAATAACCGCATTAATAACCAGCGAAGCTAGCCAAATGGTGAGAAATGGTGAGAGCTAACCACTTAAGCGTTCCAAATAAAAGAGGCGAATTCGTAAAATATTGCAATTATTCGGCTGAATAAATTTTTAAGCGAAAGAGAATTAAACAAAATATTGACACCATAAAACATACTAAAATTTATGAGTGATTAAACAATATATAGTCAAACTTTACCTTTTATTATAGATTCAAAGAGGAAAAATGGTTCAGCGAGTTCTCATATCGGAACGCCGACACTGAAGTTCTTTCTTCAGAAGGAAGTGAACATGTCTTATTGTAAATTTCTCGGGGCCAGCAAGTCAACAGAAGGAACCAAACAAGAAATGGTGAAATGGTGATCGCTTTTAGAAAAAAAGTAGTATAATGTGGATTTAGTAGCACGCATCATCTCTGGTTTGCCTGTTTCCAATCACTATTGAGTTTAAGAACTTTTCATCATAAGTTTGCTTGGTTCTTGATGGTACAACAGTGTTCCAAGCAGGCATCCAGGTTCCACTTCTATTTCCCCGAGCATTCCACTATCCAAATTCCATTCATAATGACAAACAGGTTTACTCATTTCAGGAAAACGAAATGACTAAAAAAATTAAAAAATATAGCATCTAAAACCAGGAAAAACCTATCGAAATTCATATCGTACTTCCAAAATAAAAAAATTTATGGAATACGCAATTTTTTGGAAAAAACCTGCGTTTTCTTTACTTTTTTCAAAACTTCGTCCTTTTAGCATAAAATTACCAGCACTAATTATTTAAGAGAAGTGTAACTGATCGTCGCCTCGTTAGGCTCCGGAAAACTGCCTCCGGCGTATTTCCTATCTCAAAAAAGCCGAATGATGTTTGTGATCCATATGTGTTTCCATTGTAATTCCCCTGAATCCTCTGTAATAATTTCTCGTCGTACTAACCAGTCTAAACAAAAATGGTGAATTTATTTATGCTCTTTCCAATTTATTTTTTATTCACCGCTTCTTCATTCAATCTCATTCTGCATCTCTCCTCATTTCTTTCCTTCATTATCATTCATCTCTCCTTATCCTCAATTCCTCCATTTCCTTCCTGTCGTTTTTCCTATCCAAACTTTTCCTCTTTTTCGCTCCCCACTATCCATCATTTATCTTCCTTCTTCTTCTTTATTTCCGTAATTGAACTTATACCTATCCTCGCCATTTATATATTGCTTTTTTACCGTCATCAAGGCACCATTATCCTGCTCAATTGTAAGTAATTCTTAACCAGTTTCGTTGGCATTTGCCATTAGTATGCATAAAATGGCCTCTTATCCCAGCCAATTCTATGGCGCTTCCACTAATACTCCAATGAATATATCCAAAGAGTTAATTAACCATTGACGGGTACTTCCACCAGTATCCGCCAATCCGTTAAACAATGTGGCCCATATGATTAACACTTTTGCTAACATTAATCGCTCGTGAATGAATCAATATTCACAAGGGTAATCAGTCATAGGCTTTCCTCTCCTATCAGCGCTAACCGCTCAATTCTTAGCATCCGGATTTGCACCAATCAATCATTCCTTTCCGCCTAACCGTTTCCTCCGACCTGAATTAGATGGTACTCACTACTTCACTTTATGACAGCCCGCTATTACCGACCGTACTCTGCTTATGTTGCCAAGTGAGCTGATTCATTAGAAGAATTAGCCGTTTTGGCGGATCGCCAAGTTGGAAAATCTTCGCGTAAATGGAAGAATATTTTTTTTGCCCGGTAATTCTGGAAAAGGTTTTCATTTTAAAATCCCTAAAAATAAATTTTTAGCATAAAAATTTTTTTCTGATGCCGACGAATTGCTTTGCTATTTACTGATTTCGCCGCATAAACACCAACAATCGCGAACGCCGTTCCTCGTTATTTTTTTCTTTTCTCTGGCCATTCTCCACAGTCTTTTGCTGATTTTATATTTCTCTAACCACCTCTCTTTTTGCGGTATTGTTTCTCATCTCTCATATTCTATTTACAAGCTGTCTGCGAATATTCGTTGTCGTCTCTCTCTAAAAACGTCCTTTAAGTCCATCTGCACTGTTCGTCTGAATGTTGTCCTCTCCATTCCTCATTCATTCCTTCATCAAATCCTTCTTCTGTCATATTTCCTTCCTTTTTATTCCTGCTGTCTCCCCCTCTTCTGTCGCCTTTAATTCCTTCTTTATTCATTTTTTTCTTTTTATTACGAAATGTTAAAGAATTTGCCCATGACTCGCTCGTATACTTATTTGCTTTTTTTGCGTTTTTTTATCGATTATCAATTGAATGTTTCGTAGTTGAATAATGCGGAAATTTGTACATTTTGATAGATATTCCTGAGCAAAAAAAGTCTACAAAGGTCACCGGAGGGTCACGGCAAAACGTGTTAGGGATCAAAAGGAGAATAGCAGATCCACGTGAACTACGTGTTTATGTGGGCTGTATGTAGGAGAAATTCGATTCCTTAAGGTGGAAATGCATACGTGGAGTTGTTGAATTAATTAAAACTGTTTTGTCATTATTATTTATTGCTTCATACGTGAGGTCATATCACGTTCATATAAGGTCAAGTGTCTTAGTTTAAGCTGAATATGAAAGTTCTTGCGATCCACGATCTTATTGCTTATTTACGAATTGTTGCGATTCTTTTTATGCATTTATTAATGCATTGCTTCATTGTATTGTTAATTAATTAATATTTGTGTAATTTAACCCTTTGACCTTTGCCCTGATTCGGAATTTAGTTTTTAGATAATATGACCTTATATAAGGACTAAAAAATGTAAATAATTTGTTTTTTTTTTCATTATGGTTGGCGAAAATTGTTTACTTATATTATCTGAAAGGTCAAATTTAGGTCATATTAGGTTAGATTTAGAATTGCTTTAGATCATTTGCTTGGCTTATAGATCAGCGGTTTTTTTTGAGGACGATTCGTTTTATACATGGTTTTTTCTCTCCGAACTTTGATCAGTTAGAATTAAAAGAGAAAGAAAGAGAAAAGAAAGGAAAAAGTGTGCGGGGAATGGGAAGAGAGAAACGAAGAAAAATATCTGTGGTACATGACGTAGTCCTATATGATCTATGATCATGTTGCAGTGGTACTAGCAAAAGGTATCGAAATCTTTTTGCAACATGAATTAATTGCCTGGATAAGCTAATCGAGTTAAATGAGATAATCGGGTTCGACTGACTGCAAATATTCCCGAGAGCAATTAGATGGATGATTCGAGTCAGACGGAACGAGTTAAACCAGTCGGATGAGATGAAGGAATGAGACGAGCTTGACGGATTGCAATGAGATGGATGAGTCAGATACGAATTCGATAAGGATGAACGGATTGGCTGAAAAGAATTGAGCTAAACCGGTTGCGTTGAATTTTAGGACAAAACTAGCGAATTGTCTCGAGGAATGGCAATTTTCTTATTGCGTTATGTTAAAAATTTTTGTTCGTCAAAATATCCTTTTAAAGGAAAGGAAACTATCGGGAACATTTGCATTTATCTCATTTTACACACAGTTGGCCAGAGGCGTTTGCATATGCTTTATTCTTAGTGGCCAAGAATGCCGTATACGTTTCCTTTCGTTTTACAAGCAAATAAATAATATGTGAATGAATGACGGACTATATAGATTATTGAAAGCAATAGGAGTTCAATTAATTTGAATCGGCTGAGTTTAATTAATTTAAATCTAAATTTGAATTAGTCACAAGCAGCAGCAGCGGCTCCGCACTTCAGCCCTCCTTCGTTCACCTCGTGACCTGTGACCCGAAGCATTTCCTCGGCATTTTCCTTATATGTTATTCATAATATTTTCCCATTTTCCCAAATTCCTTTTAAAAACAATGTTCCCAATGCATTTTTTTTTCATTTATTAATTCAATAGTTCTTTGCGCTCATTTTTCTCTTAACATTTATGCTTTTTTTTTATCTTTTGCTTTATATTGATTAAAATATTTGACTTTTTTAAAGATTTTATGAATGAAAATTAAAATAAATTTAGGTTAATAGGCCTCGAAATATTTTAGCCAAATAGCCAGTGATAATGGCCAAAGCGATTCATTCTAACGGTGAACTAGGCAAAAGGCTGCACTTTAGTAGGCAGTAAATGGTGAATTCACCATTTGTGACTAGGTTCGCTTCGCTGGTTGTAAGTATAATGAGGTATTTTTTTGTATAGGAAGTCAGTAACTTACGGGTGAAGATGGGTCTCCATCATCAAATTTAATTTAATTTTTTAATGGCAGGTGTGCAATGCAGAATCCGAATTGCGATGAGAATAGTGCAAACACAACCACTCGGCTGTCGTGCCTCCCAGTAGCCAATAAAATTAGCCCCATTATAGTGCCCAGTCAAGTTAATCAGCTTAGTAGCCATTCGAGACATTCAAACCAGAAATGATGACTGCGCAAGGCAGAAATCAACTATCTGATAACTACTGAATTATTACTTACAAAGGAAAAATTATTATTTTTTAATGATCAAATTTGATCAAATTTTATGATAAGAAAATAAATGTTCATTAAAAATTTATTAAATTTGTTGAAAAATTTTTTATTGAAAATAAATTTTATTTTTTCCATTATTTTCCATTTTGAAATTAAATTTTTATATTGAATTAAATTTTGAGAATTTAATTTAAAAATATAAAATATACGGAAAATTCAATTTTGCAAAGAAAGAATCAAAAAATTCAGAATCAAAATTTTTATTTAATAATATTTTTAAATTAAATTCTCAAAATAATATATGTTCAAAATTTATTGTTTTGCATATATCGAAAAAAAATTATCTGTCAAAACGAAAATTGCATGAAAATGGATTGGTTTAAAAAAAAATTATTTTTAAATTATTTTCATTAGAAGAATGAATAAATGGTAAATGGGCTATGCAACTGAAAGTTTTTAAAGTAATATGTGGACTATAGAAATGAAAAATATTGAAAAATTGCTTGGAAGTTCGTGGAATTTCATGGAATAGTGCGAATGAACTTTCATCTATTTTACAAATATTTATATTTCTTTAAATTTATCAGTTTGCTTTAATCTTTTATAGTGTGTTTTTTTATTTTTTATTTAGTATGAATTTTCCCTCATTTTTTTCACCGTTTATTTGTGCTACTGCGAAGGAGAAAAAGAAAAACAACGAATTGTCTCACTTTGACTGGACTTGACTCTGAGTAGTTGTAGTAGTTGGCAGTTTCGACATTTAGCCTTTAACCCCTGGCTGTACGCTCTGCCAGGAATACTTGCTGTTGATGTAGGTAAAATAAAATAAAAATGAGACGACCACAAGTCTGAGATAATATCGCAGTAAATTTTTCGTTCGGCACTTTTTATTTTTTGATTTGTTTCGGCATTTTGTTTAAATCTATTTCTCATTTCTTTTTATTGTTTCTATAATCGATCCATAATATTCTTTTTTTTAAGAAAAAATATATTAAATATTTTTTAAACCTTTATAAGGTTTTTTTTAAGTAATGTTACGAATGAATATAGCAAGGACAGAGCATAATAATAATCGATTGAGCGCAACGAGTGCAGTTAGTGCTGCAACAAATGGTGCAATAAGTGGCGTTGCTACCAATGGTGCGGCATTTCACCATACGCCAGCCGCACAAGTAATTATTAATGGGTTAGTGGTTTTTTCGATAATGCAACATTTTCGACGCAATTTTTGTTTCATAATGGGGTTAAAGTTCATCTAACTTTTTTGAATTAATTTAATGAAATTTTTTTCAGTATGGTTTAATTTGATTTTTCTAAAATATATTTTCACTATATCAGAAAAATAATTTTAATTATTTGTGTTTTTATTATTATTATTTATTTTTTTATTTCTACTATTTTTTAAAATAAATTTTTATTATTGGAAATATAACAATACGAAGTAATCAAACAAATTATAGAATTACAGACGAGAGAGGAAATTTACGACAAAGCAGCAGTCAACATTACGCAAATGGTCAGTTGAAAATTTTGTAGTTAAGTTTTTTATTTTATTTTTATTTTCAAAAAAATCGACCATCTTCTTATCACCATTATCATCGCAATCACCACAGTCATCAACGATCACCGCCATCACAATCATTCAACCACTGCTGCCACCATATTCATTAACCATTACCGCCATCACGATCATCAACCATTATTGCCATCACAACCACCAACCATTATCTTACAATCACTAATCGTCAGTAATATCACTACTATAATCAATCATTATCATTATCACGGTCATTCTTTACGGTTCTTTACTGGAGCAGAAATATGTTACAATTCGTAATCACAAGCCAGGAGTTCGTGAAACGTTAGTTGAACTAAGCGGTAATCGATGTGTTTTTGGGAACTGATTACTGAATATTCCATCTGATAAACTAAGTGGGCATTATACTTTCTGCGATATTGCTTAAAGTCTATCTCCACTTCACTCAGCTCATTAATCATCATTATTATCATCGTCATTATTATTATTATTATTATTATTATTATTATTATTATTATTATTATTATTATTATTATTACTATTATTGTTATTATTATTATTATTACTATTATTATTATTACTATTATTATTATTATCAGTAGTATTAAAAGACTTTCTATGGATTTATTAAAGTGTATTAGCATTTCATTATGCTTGAGTGCAATTTTCTTTGAAATGATTAATTAATTTAGATGAACTAAAAAAGGATTTTGTTGCACACAAATTATTTGATAAGTTTGTTAAAACTGTTTGAATGATGAAAAGGATTTTTATTTTAAAAAATTTTTAATCATTTCTTCTTTTATTATAGGTTCAGCTATCGATGTAAAGGATATTATTGGTAATCATGCGCTCAAACAAGGTAAATCTTTCGTCGTCTTATTCTAAGTGATAAAATATTTATCACCATTTCTGATTTGATTAACACCACTAAATATACGAAGGCATTAGGAGTTGAGGGATTTCTGGATGGTATGGGGCACCTCAACCTCTGCTGCTAGGAGTTTCAAGGTTACTCCAGTGGTTCTTTCTACGCCAAATTCTGTTGGTCTCCCAAGTCTCCCAACATCTATTCCACTTGTCCATTTATCCTCAAATAGCCTTGGTTCCCTCTAATGTCCATTCCAACAGAACCTTAATTCGAGCTTCAACGACTCTAGTTTCGATACTTTTATATTTCTTATATTTGAGGTCAGATATAAGTCCTTTCAACGGCCCTTGGCCGAAAGCCCCTTTTTAAGCGGATCTTGGCTAAGAGTCCGCTTTTAATTCTAACTAGAGATTGAATCTGTCTTTCAACTTGAATGACACCATACTTTCTAGGATAATCGCTTCATGTGATAATATTATATATATAATATAGTTATCTCCATCTTCAAGTTTCTTCATAGTTTTTCTTATCAAAAATATTTGAAAAAAATGATTTTATCAGAAAAAAATTTTTTTGTCGTTTCTGCATTTAAAAAGGTGAACAATTTTTTTGAAAAACATTGATTTTTTTCAATTTTTTATGGATATTGGTTTTATTTGTTTGCGGATAAATTCTATTTTTTAGTTACTGACTCACCATTTGATATGAGTGGTTTATTAAATATCGGTCAAATCAGTGGACATTTGCCAAATGCAAGACTCACTTCGACAACTAATCACCTCTTATCATCAACTTCTTCCATAATTAAGTTTTTTTTTCGTTCTTTCATTCCTTCAATTATTGTATTTTTATAAGAATGCTTGGTTAATCCATAAGATGAATAAAATATAGTGATATGCTACCATACTTGAGAGACAACTTTTTGGCTCACAATAAGATTTCAGAAAGGTTTCGCACCAACTTCGAGGAGAAGAAATTATTTATATCTTTATTTTGACTAATTTCTGAAATTTGATTCGTTTATGAATTGAACATAGTATTAGTTCATGACTTTGCAACCAGCAGAAATCATATTTTCATACCACATTATCTTGTCCATTTAATCCTTACCGATTTATTTCGGTTGTAAAAGAAAAATCTATAGGCTTCGAAATTGCCAAAGGAGTCCATTGAACAGGAGATAATATAATCCTTTGGTTTAAGAGGCTTTTAGCTATTTTTTTGACCTAGTTTTTTTAAGATATCATTTTTAGGTTCTTTTATGGGTCTATCATATCATCAGCAACAACAACAGCAACAACAACAACATCCGCAGCAGCAGCAACAACAGAGCGTTAGTAGTTCAGCAGCTGCAAATCAAACTCATTTACAAACCGAGTCAAGTGATTCAACAACAAATACATCAGCTACGGGTCGTAATCGTCATCGGTCTAGTCAAAATGATGGTTTCATTAAATGTCATTACTGTCCAAAGAAATGGGCTGACCAAGCTGTGGTTAGTTCTTTTTTTCTATTTTTTCCAGCATTTTTCGAATAGAATGGTTATTAAATAATTTTTTTTTAGTAGTATCACATTTGCACTAATAGTTTTATCGAAATAGAATGAGTTCTGTTATTCGTTTAATTTTCCTTGTCATCTTCTCTTATATCTTTAAAATTTATTAAATGATAGGTTATATCTCTTTTGGAAGTAACAACACTAAACCATACCCACTATCTCCTTATTACTAATTTTATCCATTTAAGCCAATATTTTTTGATACTACTTAAAGAAAATTTTAAAAACAGGCTACAGGTTCCAATAAAATTTTTAAGATAAGTGAATGGCTGACAGATGAAAGAAAGAACCAATCCGGAAAATTATCGATCACGTTCCTCAATAGATTTTTATCAAAGATTTTTTCCTCCAAAAGCTACGGAAACATACAATTTTTTTACCTTTTTCGGTGGTGATTTTTTCTTTTCCTCTTCTAATTTGGACAATTCCACTGAATATTGAATAAGCCTTTTTCACTTGAGATTAGTGATGTAAGTGGGTTAAGGGTTATTAGTCAAATAAGGCTCTTTCACCTGAGCATCTTTTGAAGTTAAAGACATTACGGTCTTCATCAGCCATGGATTTCATTTTTGGTAATTTTTATTTTTATATTTTGGTATTTTATTTTGGTAATTTTTATTAATTTTTGGACTATTTCAATAAATCGCATAAATACCATTGTTCTTTCCATGTTCTTGTCGAACTTTTTTTGGTTATTTACCTTCTTTTTTGACTTGAACAGCTATTATGGTGTTTTTTTTGTTTGTCTATAAATCATATTATATCAGATAATAATAATTGATTTTAATAAGTTTTTCATGCTTAGAGGCTTATCTGAGAATTTCTTCTTAATAAAGTATATTAAATTAGTTGAGAAGTTTATTTCAAGTTTTAAAATTAATACTCAATATATTGTTCATATTGAATCTGAAATAGGTTGGTTAGTTGGGCACAGAATTATTGAGCCAAATTCGTTGTTTCTTTTTCTTCACTTTCTTCGACATTTGTTGTACTCCATCATTTTTAATATTATAGATCATTTTATTATCTAAAAATAAACGCATAAAATGTGGAAAAATTTGCTTCGATAATTAGGATGATTTAAAAAAAAATGAAAAGATTTTCTAAATAGAAAATTAAAATTAAAGTTTGAAAATAATTCGAACTTTTTGGGATTTTTTTTGTCCATTTATGGTCATATGGTCTTTGAATATGAAATTCACATCGAAAATCCTTATCGATAAGCATAACGGCTGACGAATTATCGAATTGTTCGCAGTAAAATTGTTACCAATTGTTACCAGACGGCGCTGAGAAAATTGTTACCAATTTTTTCTGAGCGAAAAATTCATATCCTTCTTGAATGATCTTAAATATGAAAAAAGATTCGCTGAAATTTCTTAATCTTAGATACATTAGAATTTTAGTATCACTCAGTAAACTAATCTTCTAATAGCACCAACCATTTAGCGGTTTGGCTGGCTCTGTTGACCATAGAGTGATATATTGTCCCCAGAATGTATTCACTTTGCGACACAGATAGTTGAGGATCAACCGAATTCTAATGATAGATCGATTATCGACTGAAAAGCAGGTGGATTTGGAATAATTAAAAATATTTATAAGCTAACCTGATGTGCTCATACAAATCAACTCAATATTCATATTCATTTTCTAGCAAAAATATTTCACTACATCCTCACCGAAAACATAAGAAATACCTCGCGGACTTGGCCCTTTCACCTTAATTGTGGTGATGGACATGACATGTCTTTTTAATCTTATAAACTTTTTATAGCAATTTATTAATTACCAAATACTCTCATTTTCTGATTTCACCTATCCGTTTCAGCTGTTCAAATATTAACCTTCTCTTATTATTAAGAAGTGATTTTTATTTTCCTTTTTTATGAAATGAACAAAAAGAAAATGAAGCAAACATGAGGATCAGGATGGCCCATAGAAGGTCACAAAGTTACCGAATTCCGGGATTTCAATAGGTCTTCTAATTTTAACTAGCGAATTTCATGACACAATGTCGGGTGATATTCCTCCATGCATACAAAATATTTTTATTAATCCTTGCATATAATGGTAAACAATTGAAGATTGCTTGCAATAAATTCCATATTTCAAGCGTATATCTTAATCTACATTCATCATAAAATCCATAGATTCTAAAAAAAAATCCATTTCCATTAAATCTTTTATCATATTTACAAATTGTTCTTCGCATATGTTTATATTACAAATTGTCGACATAATAAGTATGTGAAAGCGGAAATATTAATTGTTGCGAATGAATCTGTTATCTAACAAAAGTAAATAATTTGATTGGTGGTGCACGTCCAATCCCAAGGTGATTCTTTGATAACCTGTGGAGTCAAGCTAAACCAGAATTTTTGTATACTTTTAGAAAAAGGAAGAAGGGAAGTTATAAACTTATTTATTAATAAAGCGAGTGAAAAATTTAAATTTTTTGGGTGATTTTAGGAGAATCGCTTAAATCTCGAAATTTGTCTCTGAAATTTTGTTGCATTACTTTAATTCATTTACTTACTTTAATTCATTCACTCATTTACATTCACAGTTGGTGGATAGCCGTTAATTTCAAAAATCCTCAATAAATCTTTGAATTGTCCATGAATGTCACCAACTAAGATTAATGGAACATTTAAATTTAATATCGATTCCTCTTTCATTAATTGCAAGAAAGAATTTAAAATTTTAAATTTTCATTCCGATTTCAGATTTTTAGAAAGTCACCGTAGTTGAATTTCACTGTTGTTGATTTGTTAAGGGACACACCCATACAAAAGAGAGAATCTATTGTATTTGATGAGACGTAGAAAAATAACGCAGAAGATTTCATTCGACCATTTAGAAAGGGATAATCATCGTAATCGGCGGTGAAAAATTCCAACCCCTTAGAATTCTCAGACCTTTCGTTTCATCTCCCCTCTCTCCCCTCCTTCTCCCTCTCTGCCTGCAGCTACTGAAATTGCTCCCCAAGAACCTCCATCTTATTTGTTATTTCTTACTCAGGAGATTTGCTTTTGATTTGTTCTTTTCTCGCCTTCAGTTCAATCAATCATCACTTAACTTAATCCCTTTTTAGCCCATTTTAGTGAACTTTTTTAAATAATAAACATTCGCCTTCTGTCCACTGCTCCAAAAAATTTGTTATTCTTTCCTCAGTAAGAGGGGTCGCAAAAAAAAGGCTAACAATGTTTGATTTATCCAGGTCGTTCAATTCATATAAATTCACATATCATTTAACTTGCTCGCGTGTTCGACAACGAACTTCGTTAATTTCGTTATTTTTATATAATTAGGAAAAGTTTTTGATTTTTTTGCAATTTGTCGGCCATTCTCTTTTCGATAATCTTCATATAACTGAAAAATGATAAAATTTGTTATAATTTTTGTCATATTCATATTCAGTTATTCGAATAAAACTTACAGTAAGTTTAGAAAATATAAATCTAATGGAGAAATTGTTTTTTGTGCCATGGAACTTTTTGGCAATTTTTTGATAATCTACTATTTGACCATTTTTTCAGACATATTTCTAACTAATATTTTTAATTTGCGATGAAAAAGTAATGTGGTTTTTATCAAGAAAAGAACAAGCAAGGCAGTAGCATTTCCATGTAATTTCGTAACTTTCGCAGGTTACTTCGTAATATTTGCATGTCTTTTCTTCCTAGAGTTTGTATATAATTTCAAAAAAAGCCAAAAAATAGTTTAGTTGTACAGTTTTTTCACTGGTCTTAAAACATATATATTTATATTTGTGGTACATATATTATCAGCTCTCTATATTCCGTGGTCATTTTGCATTGCTTCCAGTGACATTCCAATACTGCAGACTTTGTGGAGGGGTGGAGGAGAGCTTATTCGATTTTATCAAGTGGTAGGTTTTGTATTTTATCCCTTTCATATCTTACAAAATATACTTTTTTGGAAAAGATTTCTGCGTTTAATAGTTGTTCATCGCTTACGCCTTTTTTTGATCAATGTTACTAATTTTTTATTGACTTTCATTATTTTTCTTAATTCCGATGATTTTAAACCTTTGCTAAGGAAGGGCTTTTTCTCGCATTTTGGCCACTTTTTATTCATTCCAAATTCATCTACAAATACTAAGCAATGTGCGAAAATTGCGAGGGTATTTGGTGGGCAAATTATTACAGAGATATGGTGGATAACTGGAAAAACTTCAGTTAATAGGTGATATAAAGCATGGAACCAAATTCGCGCACTTCAGAGCAAGAATCCTTGCAGCGCTTGGGTTTCGCCACATTGCTGATATTTTATAGTACTTAATTTGATCTATAATTTATGATAAATTAGCATCTTAGGTGTAAATTATTACACTATTATATTTGAACCTACGTACGAATGGAATTCAATATATTTAATAAGCCTTTACTAATAGAATTCTTCGATGGTCCTTCAGTGTTTGAGATTATGTCGATAATTTGCGGTCATTTTCAATTGTGGTTGTGGTCCGTTTATATAAAGCAAGCAGACAACTGAGCTCTCCTTTAATTTCTTCAACCATTTCCTTTTTTTTATAGTACTATATACTATATATTTCATATACTATGGGTGCTATGAGCCATCCTCGAACCCGGGTTCTCTTCCAGACGCTTGAGACCTTGAAAATTTTACACATATATTGCTAGTTCCATGATGATTCCTATTCATATTAATAGAGTAGAGCTGATAGGCATTAATAGAACAGAGATTTTTCTATTTTCTTTTTTTCTTTGAGAAAATAATCTTATCACTAATCTTAATAATAAATATTCTAAAGTTTTACTCTCAACACAAAGGATTTTTTTTCTTAAGTTTGCTCCAGATTTTAACGATATTGTTTGGGAATTTGGATTTGTATTGCTCATAAATCATAGGGGTTTATGCGTATCCGACTTTCATAACTATTTTCATTTGTTTAAAATTTGCAAATTTTATTGGAGATTATTAAATAAATGGTTAGCGCTCACCACTTTTAGTCATATTAAAAATTTTCTTATGGGAGTCAGTTGAGAATAAAAACAGAGGTGCTCGTCAGCAGCATCTGAATTTTTAACAATACGTTTTACTTTTCTGTGAGAGTTAGAGAAATGCTGAACACGATTCGAAACAGACATGCCGCTCGATTGCCCTTCGAGATTATTTTTAAATACTTATTATTTTTAATATTCTTTTAAATTATTAGGTTATAGATTAATTAACTATAGATTTTTTGATTTCCCGTTATTTTCGCCATATTTGGTTAAATCAATCTGAAATCAAATGATCGTACATTTCCTTGTTGGAACATTAAGTTGTTTGGCTGATAAGCTGAAATTTGAAATAAGTGGATTAGTAGTAAGTGGATTTTTTTCTGACTTTCATCCATTTTTGATATTTTTGGTTTTCCTGTTATCATAATTGCTAGGATGAGAGTTTTTCGTTTTCCAGAGAGATCTTCGGAAATGGAAATATAAATAGATCGCCAAAAAGCATATTGGAAGAAAAGTTTTTAGACAATTTTTTATCAGAAGCCTAATTATTAATAACCTTGAATTGGCACAATAATTATGGATAGTTGAATAATGCATTGTTGAAAAGGTTGAATTTAATCGCAGCTAAACTTTTGCTAAATTAAAATAACGACTGCTCTCGATCGTTTTTTTTCGTTAAAATAATAATTTGCCAAACAAAATTTCTTTGAAATATTTTGGAATATTTTTTGTTCCTATAGTGCAGAAATTCTTTAAAGTATTTCTTGTCACTTGGTAGATGAATAGCTGGGTTGCCATTACCACCTCGATTGTCCGATATTACTAAGCTATGCTTTTCTTTAAAATTTCTTGTTAAAATTTTGGAAAATACCATAGCATGTTTAAAATAAATTTTCTGCTTCTGGCAGCATCCGCCATTTCTGGTTTGCCATGATTGCTGAGAGAAGAAATAGATTTCTTCTCTTGTACCATTTGAGTTTTACTTTTAATCGAGATAATTGGATTGGTGGTATGCAATATATAGTAAAACTATGAAGAATTATTATGAATAGAACTGAACTGTGGAAATTGTAATTAGCTGTAATTTTTTGGTTCGGCTTAGTTTTTTTTTATTCCTTTCCTTTTTATTATTTAATAAGCAAATCATAGTGGCTTCAACTTAACCACTCTAATTATGATTCCAAGTGTAAGCTTCTCAAATTTTCCCTTTTCTTTGGCTTTAATTTGGTAATAACAGTAACACCTTTTATCATCAATGATTTTTAAGTTACGTGTTCACATGGAAGAATGTCGTTTATTGCGAATGCATGAGTGCCAACAATGTGGTAAACGTTTTAAAGCACGAGGAGGCTTACAACAACATATACGTATTCATTCGAATGATCGACCATATCAGTGTAGATTTTGTCCAAAGCGATTTACACAAAAATCGCATGTTGACCAACATGAACGAATACATACAGGTTAGCTTTTTTTTATTAATCTCTAATTTTCAAATTTTGATGAAGTACCATTATTTAATGGTCCATTACCTTTTCTTAGTAATCTTTCATATTATCAACGAATTCTTGAAATAGGAAAGGATTAAACGGTTTATAAGGTGCAAGTATAAAATGCGGTGGGTTTAATTAATATTATTATTAAAATCGTAATGTGGATAACTGTCTGAAACTTATCTGCTGCTCTATCTGCATAATGCTTTAAATTAAATCAGTGATTAGTTCTAATTTTAATATTTTTAATTTGATCTCATTTAAGTTAAATTAGCTTAGCTTAGTCTAATTATGAGATGCTGAGGTTCTATTCCCCGCAGGTCTAAAAATTCGGGTGATGCTAGCGACTCACCTGTACTTCTATCGCCAAGGGATTCCCTGGCATATTTGTACAGCAGAGCGAGTTTAACCAGTAATGGTGAGGATTCTTTTAAAAAAAGCTTACTTATAGAACTAAGAATTGTCTTATAGAATTATAGAATTGTCTTAATTTTTGTTTATTTTTATGAAATTTGTTTGATTTCATACATTTCGTTTGTATTTTGTAACATCTGAATAAATGATATTTTTCATATTTTTTGGTTCCTCTATTTTATTTCAAAATTAAGACTACTCTGATGAATATTATAAATACGTGTTTATTTTTAGGCTCAAAGCCGTTTTCATGCCAAATTTGTGGTCGAGCTTTTCGGCAACGGTCACAACAGCTTGGTCATGAAGCAACGCATGCTAATAGTGGTGTTCTATCAGTTGCTGCGAATATTGCTGCCAGTCAACAAGTCCAAATTAATAATGATAAATCACCTATTGATCAAAGGTTCTCTGTAAAGACTTTGTCAGTAGTTAAATTTCAGAATGTGAAAATAATTAATGAGAATCATATTGAAAAGTATTCTAAAAAATTGAATAATAAATATTCCAATATTTTGAAAAAAATTTGACATACCTTTGTTTTCAAACAATATTTTTAACATAGGGTAAATTTTTAGCAATGGACATTCACCGAAGACTCCCGAACAACTATTAAATGGTGATCATCGTGCGCAGCTCACGAATTTGGTGAATAATAATGCTGCTGGTGGCATGTTTGCTCATACTGCTGTTACTTCATTACTAGCATTAAGTCAGGGTATACATCTGCAATGATTTTAAGATTGTTTGTTTTTTTTTATTTTTTCTTTATGTTGAAATGCTGTGACATTCATTTATTTGCCTATACTATATATGTCTACAGTTTATCATTTTTTGTTAACAATTTGTGTTTTTTATCACTTTATCACTTTAGATACTATGAAAAGTGATTAGGAAACAATTTTTTCAAAAGTTTATTGTAAAATCTTTTGTAAAATCATCAAAAATACTGCTTTTTTTCAATCTCTTATGGGATTTACTTAATTGAAGACTGTTTTTTTCAATTCAATATTTTTGCCATTTTCATTAAGGTATGAGCTTAGAAGCAGTATTTCAGTTGTTTTCACATTTATGTTTCCTTTTTTTCATTGTTTTTTCCTTTTTTTTCGCAAAATAATCTAAAGAAGAGGAATTTTAAAATGAGAAATTATTAACATTTGGTTGGTTTAAAGATAAGGATAATGTCACAGTCATTTTTTTAAGGAGCTTATTTATCTTATCACACATCCTTCATTAATTTTTCGGGTTTTCACATCTTATTTTTGTTATGTATTGCGATAAATAATTTTTTTCAACTTAACTCTTTTTTCTTTCCTATTTTCAAGTCGACTAGTTTTTAATTTTCTTAGAATTAAACTTAATTTCCTTTTCTATTTCCTTATTATTCATTTCCTTCTTATTCCTTATAAACTTCCTTGTTCTCCCTTTCAGATTTCCTTATTTTTCCTTTCTCATTTCCTTATCTCTGATTTTCCCTCTTTTCTTATTTTCTCTCTCTTCAATTTTGATTTCATTTCCTTTCTTTTTTAATATTTGGTTTTTTAAAAAATATTTTAAAATTTTGTTTGTTATTTTACTAATGTAAATAATAAACAATTATAATATAACGAATCAGGCATATTTTTTTGTTTTTTTTTTCTAATAATTGTTATTTGCTTAAATAATGAAATTTTCGTGGTTTTTGCGGTCTGACGAGTTCTTTTCCATCTTTTTAGTTAAGCATTAGGTTCAGTCATAGTCATTAGATAGGTAGTACAATAGTGAATATAGTTATTTACTTACTGGTTAAGATTAATGCATTGTAGTAAGAGCACATTTGTTAGTAGCCGCATCGAGATTTCATTATATTATAAATATGACAAATAACTATTTTGCGATAGATTTCTAGGAGTAATAAAGAAAAAGTATTTTCATGAAACCAGTAATTCGTTTTTTTCGTACCGAATTATTATTTTAAAAATGAGGTAATTGAGCGAATAGTTAACTAATTAGTTCGATTAATTGATTGATTCCTAGATTAGTACCAACCAAATAGTATTATTAATATTATATATATTATATTTCAGAATTTTTTTTAATGTACTTTTTTGCGATTAATTTTTACGATGTAAATAAATAAAGGCCGTAAAACATTTTTCTTTTCTTTGCATTTCTTCGTTTTTTCTTTTTTTTGAAAAATTTGATTTTTAATTTTAATTAAAATATTTTACAAAAGAGCCAATTTCTTTAAAATATATATTATCAATTTCATTAATGAATTTTATTGAATTTATTGAATTTTCCTTTGTTTTTTCTTAGGAATAAGCTCAGATTTTTTGTAAAAAAAGAGTGAAATAAATTCGCTTATTGCTGATTTTCATAATCAATTTTGATCAAATTCGAATTCGGATTTTCAATTCTTTTTTGATTTTTGACTGTTAATTGATTAATTCTAAAAAATTTAAATCTCTTTCAGATTTAAATAGTGTAGCTGAAAATATTAAATAAAAGGAAAATTTATATTTTTTCAGTGATGAAAATAATTCGTTATGTTTTCAGGTCGAATTATTTGTTAAATCTTATGTTGTAATGCAATCGGATCTCAGTGATTCGATTTCATCTAAAAAAAATTTTTTTATTTGTTTTTTTGATGTAAAATAGGTTACATTAGTTAGCACAAAATAGTTTTTGAAAAAATCAGATTTATGAAAAAAAAGAAGCTATGAGTTGATAAGCGATGAGTTTGCTTTGGCTTCTCTTAACAATTTCATTTCCACTGATTAATAGGTTGCGAGCGAATCAGTGGGAATTAAAACTTCTATTAGGTCCCTTATCAGAAATCTTTAGGGCTATCAGTAAGTGATAAGGATTTGTCCATTTCAGTTAAGTGAATAAAGCTTTCATCTATACAATGAATTTGTTTAAATTTAACGGATTTTTAAATTTTGGGTCGTATTATTAAACGAGTATTCTTTATAATTTCTGTTTTTTCGGGTAGTCTGTTTTTTTATTTATTTATTGCAAAAATTTCTATAAATCGCTTAGTTAAAAATGTTGTAAGTACTTAATCGTTGTGATTTGATCGAATTTTTGTGCTAACGCTTAATTAATTAATAAATGTGCCCTCGGTAATTCTTTTGCAGAATTTGCACAAATAAGAAGAGAGATGTAACTGAATAATAATAATAGTAAAGCAGCTAAAAGCGCGGATTACTTTTACTTTTACTGGCAAATTTTATATTTGCAATTAGAAGAATTCGCATCGCTTGTTGCCCAATCTGAAGCACCGCAAATACTTCTGAGATTTCTCGAAAATTTTCGATTTGCATTTGAATTTTTTTTACGTGAACGGAAAACCGGTTTAGGAATGGGAAATTTCTGCTACCTTTATTTCAATTAATTGTGAACGATTTTTCAATTTTTCTTTTTTTTTTGATTTTTTATAAAATATTTCTATTATATTTATGATATATGAAAATCTTTTTTGCAAAAATGCAAATGCAAATTAATTGAATTGAAAAACCACCATTGAAAGAGCGATTTTCTAAGAGCGCACAAAATTTCTGGCATTAGGCAATTTTGCTGGAGAGCCATTTGGCGAAAGATGTATAGGTACGCCGCAAGCATCATCCGGATTTCTGAGAGGCAACTCTACGCCTACTGGGAGTGGAAGTGAACATTAGTTCTGGAACCAACAACTCATTGCTCTAGCCGGAAGGGCCTTTAATCAAAATCAAGTGGCTAATCAGTCGTTCTCGTTCAAAACAAAGCAAGTCAGTGAATAATGAACAAAGATTTATTTACTAAAGTAGTTCGCCATATTTGCCATACAACCGGCTTATAAACATTATGTGAGAGTTAATAAGATTCTAATTTACCAACTTTGAAATTTCATCAACTTTCACAAGCTCGGCTGGTGATAAATGGACTTGATTATCTATGAATTGAGGATATTTAAAATATATCTCCTTTTTAAAATATATCTCAAATTTCGAAAAACTCGAATAACACAATTAATTTCATTTCTTATTTTGCACTAAATTCGAAAATAATATAAATTGCATTTTCTTCTTTGAATTTTGATTTCCAAAGCAGATATTTTTTATTTGCATTTTCGTGAAAAAATTTTGCAAATTTCGAAAAAATATTTACTGTAATTTATAGTAATTTTATTTGAATTCACATTAATCCTATTAATTAAAATTATGAATATTAATCGTTTATATGCGAAACCAGTCGACCGACCGACCCACCAAACAACCAATTGAAGCGACCGACCAACGAAATAGCTAACCGATTATCATCGTCGTAAAAAGAGGGATAAATCGTTCGCTCCTCTCAGTTCTTTTAATTTTTTTTAAAATAAATTTTTATTCATTTTTTCTTTATTTTCTTTGGTTTTTAAGGATTCCTTTAATAGCGATTTTATTTTTTATCAGTTATAACTTGATATTCAATGTTGCAAAATATCTCTGATAAACTCATCAAGCAGTTTTTAATTTAAAATTAATTTTTATTTTTATTTTATTGCTTTTCAACAAGAGAGACGCAATAATTAGAAACATAGAAAATTGTTAATATATATTTCAAGAAATTTTTAGAAACTTGAAAAAAATTTTAGCGTATAAAAAATTACTCGAAAATTTTTTATTTTATTGAATACTTAAGGTAACTAAACCCAAAAAATATTAAAGAAGTTGATTAAAAATATTTAAAGAAGTTCTCTTAAAAATTTGACATTCCTTAAGTTGATTCATCTTCGTTTTTATCTAAAAACTGGTACCATTTCTGGTTAGATTGGTTTCACTTTTCGAGTGATCACTTTTAAAGCCAAACCCTGTCACCAAAGAATTAAATAGAAAATAGTGATTAGGTCGATCCACAACTCTTCGTAGGAAGTAAGAAGCTTTAAGCCGAATTTAATTTGAAAGAATCTTTAACAATTCCTAAGAATTCCTAAGGAAAATATATAAATGTGGATTTTAAAAATGGTATTTTTTTTATAAATTATTACAACAAACAATAATAATTCGAAAGAATAACTGAAAAAAAAGAAAATTTGTGACGTTTCACTGTTCCATTCCATTTTTCTAATATTTTTCGAATCTATCATCCATCGGCTGATCGTTGAAAATTGAAATTCAATCATTTATAAAAATAATTTATTTTTTCTTAATTGCAGGCAAGATAACCGAGTGGTTGTTGCCTAGGTTATTGCTTAAGAGCTTTGTCCGTCAGCAGTAAACTTGTTTTAAAAAACCCCAGTGGTGCTGGCGACTTATTTGCATTTCTATCGAAAATTGAGAAATTTCTTATTTCTCATAACAGCGAGCCTAACGCCGGAAATTGTTAACGCTATAACTTAACGACTTATTGTCATCAATAATTAGATTAACTGTGAAATCAACTTTTTCAACGCTTTAAAATCAGTCAAAATGATAAAAAATTATTATGGTACCAGCACTGTTTTGATGGCGAACAATACGATTCTTATCTTTTGATAAGAGTACATACAATGCCTAGATGATTATTTCGCAAAAGAGCCACCATGATTACTTAATAAAATCGCCAAAATTTATTAAAAAATCAAAAAACATCTGTCGCAAATATTGGACAATTGTTTTCGTTACAAAAAGCTTTTCAAATATTATTTTCAAATAATAATTTTAAAGCTATCTAAAATATATAAAATTGAGTTTTTACTTGAGTTTTGGTAATAGCACTGATCCTTTATTTTTTTAAGTCCACACCATTAG